GACTTCTAAATGGCCACCACCAGAGATGGGCAGTAACGCTGTAATCTGATGACTTTTTTTAAGTAACGAGTAAAGTAAGGGATTACTATCGCAAAAACGGTAGATTACCGTTACTTTCCTGTAGGAACGCTGCGTTGCTTAGTTACTAAAACCGTGATTTTTTTTGCGAGAATGTCTCATGACAGTGACGTAAGCGAGTGCGACGTTCGTGACAACAGCTGTGTGCAGATCAACAATGGATAATATATCAAGTACGGGAGAGAGTATGAGCGTGCAGCGTTTAAAGTACTGACCTTACTTACTGAGTTTGATTCCATAAAAAGTGAGAAAAACATTAGTGTCCGTTGTGCGTGGGAAGAAAACTTCTTTTTACAGCGAAAAAAACCCCTAAACTTCCAAGCAAGCACCGAGTGCGCAACGACGTAATGGGAAATTCACAGAGAAACTCGCGGATTCTTCCACTGACCGCTGCCGCACACCTGCACCAGGGTAAACCTCCGCATACCCCACTCCTGCTTTACAGGTGAAAATAGAGCAAAAGGACTGCTAGTCTTTGCCTTTATTTATTTTCTGCTGTGTTTTACTTGCATCTATTTGAAAAACTGAGTGTAAACACAAAAACTATTTTATTTTATGTGCTGGAATGTGCAGAAAATAGGTTTAAATGTTAAACTAATTTATTCAAGTCAGAGAATGGTGCATATAATTTAATATTTACTTGATGCATAAAGTTAAAAGATTAAAACTGATAAAATTAAAAGTAAAAAAAAAGAGACTTTTCCATTTGATTACATTTTGTATGATGGATTATGCAGAAAAAGTAGAACTGGGCTGAAAGATCTATTGCTTTATCACCTATTCAGGTTGTAAATCGTTTTTAAAAAGTAACTAAGTAAGTAATTAATTAATTTCGAAAATAAGTAATAAGTAAAGTAACGGGATTACTTTTTTGGGAAGTAATCAGTAATTAGTTTTTTCAAGTAACTTGACCAACACTGGTCACCACCCATCTTGAGGAGTTTGCCCCCTCACATATACTAATGTGCCACAAACAGGACTTTAATATCACCAACTATTCCCATTTTATTACGGTGTATCCATATAAATGGCTCAACCTGTATATAATGCACCATCTGCAGCACATGAACACATTGCAGCTGAGAAGAATGTTGGATCATTTCATTGGACTTTTTTGTGAAATGTAATGAAATAAAAGTGAAACTATAATCCCATCATTACCTGATTTAATTCGTACATAGATCTGGAATTATTTGAACAGTGACAGTTTTGATTCTGTACTTAACAACAAATATAAACTGAAACGATCCAGATTTTAGCTTTAAGAGGACGATCGAGCAGATTGTATTAACTGTTTGTTACAGCCATTTTTATACACAATACCCTAATTTCAAGAGTACAAATTAACTGCAACACTTTTTTAAAAGCCATTGGTGGACAATTGCAGGGTATTGTTTCGTTATTCTAATCAATTGCACAGTTGAACTCCAGAGTGTTTATTCTGGAGTTCAGTTTGCATTTTGAATCCATTTCTTTTAACACACGACATGAGCTACTGCTGCAAACTTAACAGGCAATCCTTAAACCTAAAACCAAAAAATAGCAAATCATTAGAATAGAACATAGAGAATGAAGAAAACAACTGATCTTCCAAATTCTGCAGGATCTACAGGATCATTTCCATGGTATAAAAGAATGTTTCTAAACACCCTGAAAAGGAAGGTCAACGTATTATAACCTTACTTCTACCCAAAAAGACATTATGGGAGAAAATGTAGAGGGTTAACAACGAGGTACAAATTGGACATGAGCTATTCTTAAAAAAAAAAAAAAAAAAAGCATACTAAATCATTCAATTTAGTGTGCTTGTTTTTAGTATTCAATAGTACTGTACTGTACTGTACTGGAATCATTCAATTCCAATTGAGCCGCTGAATGTAAGGACTGTGTCTAAAAATGACTTCAATTACTCAAGATTTAACATAGTTGTTTTCTTTAACAGCCCAAATTAAAATTACAGTACATCTAGAAAGTATTCACAGTGCTTCACTTGGTCCACAGTTTGTCATGTTACAGCCTTATTCCAAAAATGCACTTTAGTTGTTTAGTTTTTTTTTTTAGTTTTTTTTTTTTTTTTACAAGAATGATCTGAAAAGAAAACTATGGAGAAGGACTGTGTCACTGTGCTGTCTGAAGGATACCACATTATCTGCCAAAGATTGTGAAGGCAATGTTATGGTATGTGATAACATACACATGCCACAACACTGCATTGACTATACTCTGCTTAGATTCAGCCAAATGCAGCAAAACACATTTGCCAGCACTTTACGGTGCAAATACAATGCAACCCAAAGCATTACAGTAAGATCAACCTAAGAATTCCTCATGATAAAGAAATGGTATATTCTGCAGTGGCCATGCCAGTCACTTCAACTCAACTGAAAGGGAGCATGCTTTTCAGAGCACTTTGCTCTCTGACTGCAGGCTTACTTGTTCCTAGAGTATTTAAAAGTAGGATGGGAGGCAGAACCTTCAGTTTCAGGCCCCTCTTATGTGGAAACAGCTTCCAGTTTGTATTCAGGAGATGGACACTATCTCTACTTTTAAGATTAGGCTTAAAATTTTCCTTTTTGCTAGTTAGGGCTGGATCAGGTGGCCCTGAATCCTCTTTTAGTTACACTTTTGGTGCAGGCTGCTCGGGATTCCCATGATGCATTGAGTATTTACTCTTCAGTCATCTTTCTCAGTCGCTATGTGTTAAATAGACCTCTCTGCATTGAATCATATGTGTTATTAATCTCTGGCTCTCTACCACAGCATGTCTTTTATCCTGTCTCTTGGTCGCAGCAGATGGCCGCCCCTCCCTGAGCCTGGTTCTGCTGGAGGTTTCTTCCTGTTAAAGAGAGTTTTCCCTTTCCACTATTGCCAAGTGCTTGCTCACAGGGGGGTCATATGATTGTTGGGTTTTACTCTGTATGTATTATTGTAGGGTCTACCTTACAATATATAAAGCGCCTTGAGGCTGTATAAATAAAATTGAATTGAAATAAATTGAATAAAAAAACAATACTGATATTTAAAAATACATTTATTTGTCTGATTACTTTAGACCCTCTGAAAATGGTACTGTGTATAAAAGTTGGTGTAATTACTAAACTGTAACTCTGTAACTTCTGTCGGAGTTGTGCTTTTTTGGAAATCGAATTTCCCAGAGGAACCCACCCGAGGGATTAATAAAGTTCTATCTTATCTTATCTTATCTTAAACTGTTAATGTAATATTTTTGTTACACCTTTTCAATGAAAGCTGAAAGTTTTGTTAGCACATTTCTGCATATAAAGATTTTAAAGCTGCATTAACTCAGCTCTTGCGTGTAGTTTAGCATTTCATTCGATTTTGAACTCACATACTCTTATCGATGTCTTGTGGAAAGAAGTTCTGGTGTGTAATAGCCTACAGTAATAAAAAGATGATTTGCAAAGATAACAAGTAATTAAATTAAGAGAGTTGAATGTCCGGCATTTTTTTCTTTCAGCTGTTGGTGAAAGAAAAAGCTAAACTAAAAAGAACTGAATATTAAACTTAAAATTGTTAAGTAACCAGAGGCATGCCTGCAAATTAAAGCTAACATTTCTTTAACTCCCCTGGATATACTTTCTACTAACTTTCTTCCACCAGAACAATTTATTAAAGTCAAAGAAGCAGGTTTTTAGCTGGACTTTCTGTCATCCGAGTGACCAAAATGTCTAAATATAATTTGAGAGAAGATCTATATTTAAGAACTGCACACTAAAGCTATTTGACAATACAGCACACCAAAGCACAGAAAAATCTATAGTTTATATGTTGTTAAATCCATGAATGTCTGAGGATCCAATAATTTTGCATACACTCTTTGGTTTTCCTCAATTAATATGCACACACCATGGCTCACAGGAGAACAGAATTCACGTCGGAACACGCTTGCATCCTTTTCTTGCATCCTGGATAGATTTCAAGCTGTGGCCTTGAACTGTTCAGTCTGCATTGAGTGTCTTCTTAGAAGCATCCGCCTAGTAAGCTCTTTCCGGGGCCCAGGAGGAGCAGAGGGAAAAAATTGCTTTTGGCCAGACTCTTTCTCAGAAAAACTACTTCCATTGCTGAGGTTACAAACATTAAGGATGGGGGTGTTAGTAAGAGGTGGGAGAGATCTTGGTCTGGCCTGTGAGTTAAGATCCAGCAAGAAGGCACCAGAACCTCTGCGCTCATATCCAGAAAGGATTCTCTGACTCGTTCCTGACACCAACTCCCTGGAACCCATTGTGCTAGAGGAATGCAAAGGTGCCAGCCTCTTGCCATCTGTCAGGTCTCTAGCTTTCTGCTCTTCAGGGACATTTTGAATGTTTACAGCTATTTGTGGGTCAGAGTTGTATATGTCTGCACCTAGCTTGCGTCTTTGAATGACATTATGAAGGCTTGATGAAGGTTGCAGTTGTGTTACAAGAATTTTACCAGTGGAAAGCGAGGAGGGGACTGAATCTGTACCAAGGTTTTCAGAATGCAGATTAGGATGGGAGGCAGAGTGAGATGAAATGAGACCTGGTAGTGGTATCTTTTGTCCAACTTGTTTGGCACTATCATTTTTTCCATCTCTCGCTTTTTCATTACTTGCTTCACACCATTTGTAGCTGTCAGAGTTTTGGCTGTTATCCTCATCCAGTCTAGGAACTCTGAATGAGAAGTTATCAGTCAGACTTAAATCCTGGGCTTTTTCTGAGACTGAAGCTTCAAGAGGTTGCTGGGTGAGCAGAGATGCTGGGATCTTCAGCCAGGGTTCAGAATTCAGCCTCAGTAGAGGCTGCTGCAGTCCATTTAGAGGTGCTTGGCAAAGCCCGCGAAATCTTGACGGGGAGCACGGATGGGAGCTTATGCCACAGATCTGTGCTTCTTTAAAAGAAAAGACTGGTTTTGGAGGGCACAAGGTAGAGGAGGTGCACTGGGGAGATGTGATGAGCTGGATTTCAGATGGAGATGCAGGAGCTGGTAATGTCATTTTTTCTGCCTGGTCAAGAGGACGAAGGGGAGGCATGCTGAGGTACTGCTTGGTTTGCAGTTTACCACATGGGAATTTGTCAGTTGTTATGATGATCACCTCCTTTCCCTTGTCTTTGCATGCATCAAGCAACAAGTTCAGCACCTTTAGGTCTCCAGTCATGACTGCGTAAACCAATGCTGATGTCCCAGACTGATCCTCCAGACTGATGTCTGCCCCACTGGCCAAAAGCAGAGAGACCACCTCTGGGCCAGCCTGCTCCCGGCAGGCATGCATCAGTGCAGATCGACCTTGTTTGTCCTGGATGTTGGGGTCTGCTCCCTTCTCTAGAAGAAACTGTATCAGCTTGACTCGACTGGCACTCTGGGCATCAACATGTTGGGTACGGCAGGCCACCATCAGTGGGGTCTGGCCTTGGCTGTCACTCTCATTGATGTAGGCTCCCCCTTCCAGGAGCAGTCGTGTGAGCCGCAGGCGACGGAGAAACACTGCTTTTAGTAGTGGATTACCTGAATCTATGGTTACACCAGGATTACAGCCTTCTGCCTCCATGCTTCTTGGTCACAGATGGTGATTTTGAAGATGTAGAAAGACAGATTTCTGTGGAAAATAACAAAACTATTTAAGGTTCTGTAGAAGAAGAGCAGTTGCTTGCCATGATGACGATGTCAGCAGGAAACCTGTCGAAAAACAGTAGCAACCCACACATACAACTCTAGAAATCTTCCTTAATTCGATACCAATATGATTCTTGTTTAGTTACGTCAAGGTGCAAAAGGACACAGTTAGAGCTTAGATAAGTGTCATGGTGTGGGTTAAAATTCCAGTCTTCTGGCTGTTGTTAGAAAAGTTGAAAAAAAAAGAAAGTGCCAGGTGTTGCATGTTATAATATTATATCTATGTGCTAATGTATTTGTTATTTTTAGTCTTACTTTACAATTTGCTTTTTAATTAATTAACTTTTAATTCAATCTACTCTGTTTATAAGTGATAATTTCAAATGAATTGCATATATTACAGTTTCTTTACCAAAGTGTGAAACAAATAGTCAGGAAAAGCAAGAAACTGATAATTGTCATCTTCATTTTCAGCAGTTCTATGTCTGCAGCACAAGCAGAGCCAGCCTCTTTCTATCCGCCTTTGTGCTGTTTGTCCTTGCTTTTTTCTATCAGGCCAGAAAAGGCTGCAGTTAACAACGTCTCAGACAGTAACACAACATTTTCTTCAGTTAGTCACAGAAACCAAAACACTACAATGAAAAACATTCCTAGACTGTTTTTTTTGGTAATTTTTCTGCTTTTTGTATGTAAAGTAGCAACAGTGGGTTGTCGTGGTTCAGATTTTTGAGGAAGAGACATACAACTGAAAGTCCATAGTGGGTCAACACAAATGATTTTATTAAAGCACATATATGTGGTGAAGATGGGCTCTGCAAAACATCAGCCTCAATCTCCCGCCTGACAACAGGTGGGTGTGATATTTACAGTGGGGCAAAAAAGGTATTTAGTCAGCCACCGATTGTGCAAGTTCCCCCAC